GGTTTATGCCTGTAATTCCAGCACTTTGGGAGGCTGAGGTGGGAGAAGTGCTTGAGGTCAGGATCAGTTTGGGCAACATAGTAAGACCCCATCTCTACAAAAAATAAAAACAAATTAGCCAGGCATGGTGTTGTATTCCTATAGTCCCAGCTATTGGGAGGCTAAGGAGAGAGGGTCACATAAGCCCAGGAGTTCAAGGCTGCAGTGAGCTATTATCATCACTGCACTCTAGCCTGGGCAACAGAATGAGACCCTGTCTCAAAAAAAAAGAAAAATAAAAAAAACACAACAAGCAAATGCAGTGCATAGTCCTTAAATGTATCCCTCAATTTAAAGAGAAATGATAAAGTATTTATTGAAATCATTGGAGAAATTTAAATATAGACGATACATTAAATAATAGTATAGAATCAAATTATATTGAATCATATTTAATCAAAGTTTAAAAACATTGGCACATCCCTAGGTACAGATAAAAGAGAAGAGAACAGAGTCATAACAGTTATTAGAAAAACTTAGTTTGAACATGAATTTATATAGCCAGCCAATTAGAATCTAAGTGTAAGCACCAAGAGGGAGAGAGAGAGAGAGAGAGAAGAAAATGTATTTGTGGTCATGTAAAAACTAATGAATTTAGCATTCCACAGATCTCCTCTGAAACAATTAGTCAAGGATATGCTCCCAAAAATGAAAACTGAATTCAAAAAAGAGGAAGATATGTTTGAAATCCAAGAAAAAGTGGTATACAAAGAAATCAGGAGCCATAAATAAATAGCATTAGGGTATAAAACAGTTCCAAGAGAAAACTGCATTCAACTTTATACTATTAAAAATGTATTCAGTGGATTATTTTCTAGGACAAATGAATTATCAAAATTAACATAAAAAGAGAAATCATTTTAAATAAACCATTAAACCTAGACAACACTTAAAAAGTAATCAATGATTCACGCTTTAATAAAGGTCAAAGTCTTACTTGCTAGTAATTTATAGTTTCATTTGCAGTGGAATCAAAAATTTCAAAATTCAGAAATGTCAGTGGAAAAAGTACAATGAAGGAAAACTTTCTGTACTGAATACTAAAAACATAATAATTAAAATATCATGGAATTGCCATAGGATAAACAAATAAATATAAAATAAAATAGTATATCCAGAAATAAACCCACATTTTTATGGGAACTTAATATATTAGAAAGAGCAAAGTCAACAGAAAAGTCACTAGATGCTGTTGGGGCAATTGCTCTTCATTTGAGCTAAAAATTTAGATTATCATATCATACCATATACAAAAGTAAATTATAGAACTGAATATTTCAAAATTGTGCAAGTATTAGAAGAAAATATAGGCAAGGCATAATACCAAAAGACATAAAAGATGAACAGCTTTGACTACACAAATTTAACTTTTGACAAAGTACATTACAAACAAAATTCAAAGACATAATAGAGTAAAAGATATAAGCAGTATATATAGCAAATGTTCAGTATCCATTCTATGAAGAGAACCCCTACAAATCAATAAGAAACTCAACCCATTGTTTAAATGGGCAAATGATACAAATAGAAAATGTAAGGAAGAAACACAAGTGGTCAATAAAATAGGAAAATAAATGCTTACCTGCGTAACAAACCTGCACCTATACCCCTGAAGTTAAAAGTTTTTTTTAAAAGAAAGTAGAAAACAAAAAAAAGAAAAGAAGTTTAACCTCAGTAGTAATAAAGGAAATGAAAAATAAAAACAAAAGGGCAATGAGATTAGCAAAAATTAAATGTTGATAATATGAAGTGCTAGGAAAGGAGTGGGGAAATGGGCCCCCTGGTTTACCACTGGTGGACGTAAAAAGTATAAATTAGCATAGCCTTTTCAGAGGCCAATTTGGCAATATATATTAAATTTTAAAATGTGCATACATATACTTTGTCTCAATATTCTGCCTCAAAGGATCTGTTTTACATAAATATTGACATATTGTGGAAAAAGAGAACAATTACAACCTAGATTCCTTATTATGGAATACTGCCCATCCATTAGAAAGCATTCCATGAATTAAAATGGACTAACAGGAAAATATCTCTAAGCCTGACTACAGTAGCAAAGTAAGTTGTATAACAACATATATAGTATAATTACATTTTTTAATGCTGTATATCTATTGAGATACTACTATGCGTAAGCCTTGGTCTTCGGTAGTAGGCTTATAGAATTGAAGAAAACAGATAAAATTATTGGCCTTACGGAGTTTACCTATGAAGTTTGGAGATGAGAGATGAGTGTGGGACTGGGGATGGCAAACAAACTAGTAAGCAAACACATAAGCAAGATCATTTCTGATAGTGGACTTTTCTAAGAAGGCAACATGTCATGTCATGGAGAAGAATCCTAGTATAAAGTCGGTACTATAGGTAAATGAGAGCAATTATAATTCACTTGCAGAGTAAACTTGACACCACATACATTCTGGAATTGAAAACCCCTTAAATTCATATTGATCTTTTCTGTCTTTTAAGACATGTTAGCTAAAGAAGATACTATATCAAACTTCTGCAGGGATTTTGTAAGCTGACAGAAAGCCCTAAAGTGAGGGCCAACATTCGTGGTTTCCATTCTGGTTCAGCTACATTAGCAGAGTTAGACCTAAACGTCACCAAAAATAGGAAAAGAAGGTTATTACCTGCCTTTACAAGCCCATAGGGCTGTTTCAGGATCTTTGAAATCTTTAAAATGATGTTTTACTTTGAAAAAGTTATGGAAGGGCATTTGTCTTGTAAGTAGCAGAATAATCACAGGTATTAAGTATAATCAAAGGTGTTGTCAACTAGATTCCATTTACGGCTTTGCATGTAAAAAGTGTAATATGAGGGAAGTGGAGAGAGGACTCCAACAAGGAACATCACATTTCCTGGTGTCCTCCCTTTTCCTCATTGGAATAAAAGCTTCAGGCTCTATAGTCTGGACCTCAGGACAGGGAATAATATGGCCCCAAAGCTAGACAAAGCCCATAAACCAGAGAATTCTGGTGAATCTTCTTCCCCTCCTCCTCTTTGATGCCCAAACCATACTCCATTCACCAAGGCATTTCCAATACACAGGAGTGTAACAGAAGCCTTCAGGTTTTGAAAAGCAGAAGACTGTTTTGGAGGAGCCCTCATTTTGCCGCTTCCCCTCATCTCAGCTACCCCTGCTCAGACTCACATCCTAAGGGTGACCCTGCCTAGAGATACATGGCTGGTAGACTGACTGCACTTGCCGCACTCTGCCAAGAGGCAAAATGCAAATGCTTTTAAGAGGTCAATGCCCTTCAACTGTGAAATGGTAATGTGCTAAATTATGTGCTTAATTAATTTCCCCCCAAGAGCATACCATAAAATTGGAAAAACAATTCCTCAGGCAAGTCCCATCACCCAGGATCAATGTGCATAAAGTACACAGGAAAGGATCAAAGTTTCTCATCAGTAAATGTGTGCATGTGCTCTGGCTGAATGTTCAGAGGTCGATTTCTACTGTAGGTTGGTGAAAGGCATACAACCAATTAAATTGCTTCGCTCTTTCTCCTTGTGTTGTTACCACATGGGTTAGAAACTTCAGGGATGAGATTTTTGCTACTTCCCTCCAGCAGGAATCCAAGGAAAAAACTTCCTGTTAGATTTTACCATGAGCAGGCATCCTCTTCACAAGTTTGTAGGTTTTGTTTTTTATTAGTTTTCTTGTTAATGCGAAGCAATCACAGCAGGATTAGGGAAACTGAGCTAAAAGGTAAGGTGATATAGCCACTACCTTATGAATATTCAATGATATGGGCTGTAACAATCACTTAACTAGTCTGGAGTTATATCTAAGTGATAAAAATAAAACTGGATAAAGGAGGCAAAAACACTATATATAATAGCTACCCTTTTTTCCAGACTACATAATGTTATACAACAGCTTTGTAATTATTTGTATAATGTTTTTATTGTTTAACTCCAGCGCTGTAAGCTCCGTGAGACTTACAGTGCTAGAGCTTTCTTTCACCTCCATATCTCTAGCAGCAATCCCTTTGCTGGTAGCTGACACTCAAGATATATTTGTAAATAAATGAATGAATGAGTGAGTGAATGAATGAACAAATGACTAAGCCAGGTTTAAAACCCAGTTCTCAGGCCTCATTGATCATTTCCATGGTACCAGGATACCCCCCTGTGGAGGCACAAATTTTCAAGAAAGAATAAAAGACATTAAGAGATTATGCCTAGGCCGTACAACATAACCTCCCATTTAATTTCATATAAATTTATGACTGAACCAGTTTGGAGATTTGTTTCCAGAAAGTACTGATTTATTCACTTGAGATCAATCATGGTAAAGACAAGTCTCAGTGGGTAGGCAGTGCATTGCTGTGGACGGCTACCTAGTACATGGTGTTCACATTTGAGTTGATGGCGCTTTATGGTCTTAGTGGTGTAAGTCTGGATCAAGGTCAGGCTCTCTCCTCATAGAAGGATGTGTTGGAGGAGGCTGGAGAGCCAAGGAATTGGAAGGCAGCTGCATGATCCCTGCTGCATGCTGAGAGGGCCAGTGTCTAGAATCAGAGAAAACAGCAGGAGCTCTCATTCTTTCTGCTGGGTGTCACCTGCTCCCAGCCCTTTTACCTGCACCAAAAGCCAGTAGGTTTCACAAGCTAAATCCCTCCTCCTGAGCTAACTTAATCTAATTCACTAAGAATGCGTTATAAAACACCAATACTCTATCAAAGACAGGGGCTTTAATTTTACTTGATCTTTAGGTTCCATTGACCTCAAGCTGTCTTTCCCAGAATGTTGTGAAAACATGCTATACACACAAACACACACACTCATACATGTATATATCTAAATATTTTATTACTCAGAAAGCTATTAGGGTTAATGGAACATTTGACTCAAAGCATAGCCAACCTTTGCACTGACATCCTGCATATAGAGCCTGCATTTATGATTTCTTATTTCTCTTATCTTTACCAACACCTTCCCTCCCTTAGGAAAGGAACCTGGCGGGGGAACCAAGAGTTTGGATTGCAAAATTGAGGAGAGTGCTGAAACACCTGCCCTAGAAGACTCCTCATCATCCCCCGTAGATAGTCAGCAACATTCCTGGCAGGTTTCCACAGACATTGAGAACACGGAAAGGTAAGTGGGAAGTTACCCTGAATAGACTGCCAATCCTCCTCCCGTTAATGTTCTTAGGGGCCACAGAGAGATGAGGTTTTCTAGTTCAGATTCAGAAACAGAGCTTTCTTTGGTCTGCCAGAGGAGCATAGTGCTGGCAGGGACCCTGGAGACTGCCTAATCTGCAGACAAGAAAACTAAGACAACAGAGGGTAAGCAGTCCAAATGCTGCAGAGGAACACTAGCAGCACCCACAGTAGGCGTAGGCTCCCAGGCCTCTGCTTCTCCCACTCCAACACATTGCATCTCCGTGGAAAATGAGAACAGTGTGCTGCCTTGGAGGGGAGAAAGTCTACATGCTGTCACAGTTCACCTACTGGGCTGGTGCCCAAAATTCTCACTTGTTTAAGGGAGAAAATCCAAAATTACACAAAGATGCCTCCAGTAAAGTCTCGGGTTTCAGGTATATGGAACAGCCTGCTTAGCTGCCATTTGGGGGCTGAGCATTCTGTCCAGTTCACAAAGGGCTTCTCCCAGGACCCCCTTCTCTTTCTCTCCATAAGGTAGCTGATAGCCCCTCAGTGGTCAAAGCAAGTCAATGCATTTTCTTAACTTCAGTAGCTCACTTCTAGAGAGGCAGTTTCTTTCTTGAAAAGAAGAGACTCTACAGTGATCTTATTTTATTTAGGAAAAAGGAGTAATAATAATATTATTATAATAAATACCATGTCCCATCTAGATGCTAAAAGTGACATTCTGTGAGGCAGAAAGATAAGCCTCTTGTTTATTTGCCTTTACACTGATATCTGTGCCCTTTGCTACTAATGTCCCCAGAGCTGGCACTAAGCAGCTGAATGAATACTGGGCAATTCCACTGAGTGTTCTGTGTGTATGAGGTTGAGTCACTGACAACATAATGAACATTTTATTTTTTTTTTATTTTTAGAAATGTAACACACAATGGCATTTATAGCTATTGTGGTTCTACTTTCAGATTGTAACATAATTCTAAAGCTAATTACCGAATTTCTGTGTTTATAGAAAATTGGAGCATGTGGTAATTATGTGCTATTAATAAAACTTGGATTTTGTATAAGCTTGGAAATGCAACAATTCAAACAATAAAGCTGTTTGGCACAGTTTGATAGCACTATAGACAAATGATGAGGGAGTGATTTATCTTAATTTATAAAATAGAAAATTCTTAGCTCTGTTCCCAGGGAAAAAAATATCTGCTGAAATGCCATATCAGGGCATAAACCATCAGTGAAGCCATTTCCTTTGCAAACCTTAGACAGCAGCTATATTCAAGCCTTATAAGCTTATAAGAAGGGATGGCAGTAACAGTAGGATAGTTTTGGCCCACAACGTTGGCAGTGTTTCCGTTCAGCCTGAAAGCCCAGATTCTGGTCAAAGGAGATGGAGGTAGGCACAGTGGACCTGGTCCAGGATGTGGCTAACTCCGTTCTCCCTGGCTGTCTGCGTTGAGAGATCATGGGTCTCAAACTAGGTTGCACAGTTAAGTCATCAGGAGGGAATTTTTTAAATACTGACGGCTGGGCCCCACTATAAGCCAGCTGAATCAGGCTCTCTTGGGGTGAGACCTGGGCTTAAGGTCATTCTCCTCTGCAACCACCAAGGTTGAGAACTGGTGCTTTATTAGAGGAGACCTTGCCTCAATCCCCATGTTGCATTCCTAGCCCTTTCTCACCCGTTCCATCTGTCCTTGAGATCTTACATAAAAACAGACTGTGCCTTGCACTTGTGGAGATGGGGCCCCGCTTCCTTTCTCCTGCCCTCCTCTCTCACTTGATCAGCATGCAGACCACAGACACTTCCTCACACCTCACACCCATGGGAGTGGATTTGGAATGTTTTTACAGGCATATTTCTGCAGATCCTCAAGGCTGCTTTCCTTTCCTTTTCCAATCAATTATTACTGAGACTTGAGTTCCTCTTCACATATCAGTCAATACTTGAAAAGGAGCTCCCATGAGGTCTTCAGAATTACCCTAAGAAAATGGTCCTCAAACCATGCTCAACAGAACAGGGGTGTTTTGTGAAGTGGACTGAGTGGTTTCATACCTAAAATTAAATGGTGACTGTCTTTCCTCAGATAACAGAAGAAAAATAAGTGGATAGAATTTCTTCAACTTTAGGATGATCTTCCCCCACAAAACTTTCCTAAACCCATGGTGCCTACCAGTGCTTGCCTATCCTCAGTTCATTAAAAGATACATCTGCTTTTTGTACCAAATTATGTTCCTGGCTATTTTAAATGAAAGCTGCCACTATGTCCTGGGGTTTCAAGAGCACTTTCTCCAATGCACAACCACCTAGAAGTGTATAGGGACCATTGTCCCAAGGGTTTCAAAAGATCAGTTTTCCCCTACCTTAGACTAGAAGCCTCCTAAGATGGCTTCCTGCTTTACAGTTCTGGGGTTTTATGACCATGTATGCTCTGAGATGAGGGAAGATATTTGATGCGTGCAGTGGCATTGCATGCTGTGCGCTGAAGTCAGGAAGTGTGGAAGGATGGTCCGTGCTAGAGGAAGGCCCAGCTGTCCCCAGGTGGGGCTGTTTTCCCTCTTGTTCCTATACTGCGCCCCTTTCTGTTTCATCCATTGTAAGGAGCTCTTCTCTGGAAGTTTTAGAATTTGTTACTCTCTCATTATTCCAAGTCAATATCATAAGTGTTAGCCCTGGTGAATGCTTAATACCTGAGTTATACTGAATTCCAATCATGGTAACAGGGGACTATTAAAACCAAGCAGAAGATGGAATTGGAGGCCATTGTCTTCAGTGAAACAACTTAGAAAACCAAATAGCGCATGTTCTCACTTATAAGTGGGAGCTAAATGGTGGGTACACATGGACATGGGGTGTGGAATGATAGACCTCAGAGACTCAGAAGGGTGGGGAGGTGTGGGGGATGAGAAAATACTCAGTGGGTAAAATGTACATTATTGGGGTGATGGATGCCCTGAAAGCATAGACTTCACCACTGTGCAATATGTCAAAGTAACAAAACTACACCTGTACTCCTTAAATGTATACAAATTTTAACAAACGAGCAAATAACAGCAAGTGAACGTACGCAGCCACTATAGTCCTCTGACCATAAAGTCTTGATAGCACCATCACCCAGCCTCAAGTTTGCTCTGGGTAACCCTGTTGCTCCAGTTGTACATCCTTGGCCTCTCTGTAAATCTAAAGCGCTGTTCTCGTGACCAATGGCTCTTCTCTGATCTTAGCCAGGTTCGACTGGAGGCAGAGATGAGGGCTTCTGCAGGAGAATGCCCTGTAGAAATGTTTGGCAGAGGAGCTCTCATTTTTTCCTGAGCCAACCTATCTCAGATTTTTTTTCTTGTAAAAGCAAAATAAATTCAATATTTGCCTACTGGAAACTAGAGCTAGTGCAATTAGACACAGACTCTCATCCTTCAGTTGTCTCATAGAACAGATTGTTTGAGATTTCGTTTTGAAAATTTACAGCTGATTCTTCTGTCTTTTTATCAATTTTACAGAGACATGCGAGAAATGAAAAACCTTTTAAGCAAACTCAGGGAAACTATGCCTTTACCATTGAAAAATCAAGGTGAGTCTTGTCAGTTCTCTTTGAGGCAGATGTTTTTAATGGGATAACCTTGGGAATTGTTTTCTTGGAAATTAAAGCATATGTCTCACACAAACAGTAGAAGGCATTGAGCATTCATTTGTCTTTCCTCAAGAAGATACCAAAATGAGACTAGAGACTCTCTGGTGAACACAGCATGCTTTGAGGGGGCCCGAGATACGTTCTGACCTTAAAACAAACTCCTCCTCCACTGGCCCTGTTACTCACTGTGGAAAGCACCATGCCAGGCACAGCAGGAGACTTCAGAACACCTTCAAAGGAAGATCTCTGCCATCCACTTGCGTAATTATCTTTAAAAAGCAATCCAAAAAATTAACATATATTGAGAACTTACAGCATGCCACTATTCAAAATACTTTGCATGTATTAACCATATTCACTTATTTAATTCTAAACAACTTTGAGGGAAATGCTATTAGTGTTTCCCGATTTAGTAGAAACTGGCACACAGAGACGTTAGCTAACTTGGCCAAGGTCACACAGACTGGAAATAGGAAAACTGGGATGTGAATTCAGGCAATCTGTCTCCAGGTCTATCCTATGGGAGTATATGCCCTAACGCAGAAATGAGAGGGAGATGTTCACTAGAATGCGGGAAAGTCCTCTGCATGCCTTTTAAACTATTGTATCCTCAGTATCTGGAGCCTGGGACATAGCAGAATAATACCTGTCACAATCGATGTTGGTTAAATCTGCACCTACCTTTGCAGCCCCAGAGACTGACAGTGTGTACAAAGGACCAATAATAAGGGCTTACATTAAGTATACATGGCCGGAGCAGCCATAGTTAAAGTATCACCTTCAGAGGGTTGTACATAGAGGTGGAGAAAGGCTTCTAGGAGGCAAGAAAGAAACTCCTCTTGTTTTCACTGAGCAAAGCCTGATGGGAGGGAAGACAGGGTGCCGCTTGCCTTGAAGCGAGGAGGAGGAGGAGGAGGATTTGGCAGTGGAGCTGGAGGCTCCTCTTGGCTCCAGGAGCAGCTCAGCAGAAGGTGGAGGGGTGGAAGTGAGAACACCAGACGAAGAGGCTGAAGAGTAGCGTGGCCTGAGCTGCACAGGGGCGGAGGTCAGAAAATAAGAAGCAGGGGCTCCAGCACATCAGATAACTCGGAACAGCCCCTGAAGGGCCTGCTCGCCAAGGCCAACTGGCTTGAGCCACAGGTGTAGTGTTTTGAGAAAGTAGAAAACATGCTGTAGTGATGAGAGACTGCTCTGACCACTACATGGAAGATTGTTGCCAGAAATAAGCACAGTGTTTAGAACAAGGGCTTTGAATTAAGAACAGCCTTGGGTTCAAATGCTGGCTCTGCCACCTACCAGCTTTGCACCCTGGGAACAAATTGTTTAACTTCTGCAAATGTATTTCCTTAGCCCTGCAAAGGGGATAATAGTATCACCTACTTTAGAAGTCTGTTGTGGGGATTAATTGAAGCAATGTGTCATATGCCTACTACCAAACTTAGCAAACACTTGACAAACGCTTTGTTATTATTATTATTGTTGTCACTGTTAATATTATTTACAAGCTGGTCAACCCAGCTTTGCTCAAGAGAACCCCAAATCACCATCAAATAGAGGAGTCCCTGCTACCACTCACTCTGCAACAGACCATGTGTAGTGTACATGTGAGGCTGGTCTTGAGCCTGCAATTCAAAACACTGGCCCCAGGACTTTAGATCCGCAGCTCATGTCTGAAACTGTCCTCAGTGTCTTAATAGGTTTGGCAAGCCTCCTTCATCAGTAGCACCCTGACGTCTCGCCCTCCCTCACATTCAGCTTTCTAAGAGGATGGCTGCCCAGGGTCCCCCAGTCTGAATTTCATGGGTGCCATGTACCCTATATTTTAAATCACATCATCCTAAACATTCCCTCCCCATTTAGTGATCATTCATCCAGCAGTTTTTGACTGTGTGTTAATAGAAAGACAGAAATTTTGTTTTATTTAGTCATTTATAATCATAAAGAATATCATATAAATATTTTATGTGACTTTGTATCATCTTTATACACGAAAAAATAATTAATTTTAATTACATTTTTAAATGTAATAATAATAATCAAAGGTTGATACTGTGAGTGAAAACATGAGTGAAAAGGGAATAGTCATCAAAATAAATTATACTCAGGACTTGAACCTTGGATCTATCTGGGGAACAGAAAGGAAAAAGCTAGAAAGGAGATACAAGGACTTATTCAGAAGGAGGTGGTGCAGTAGGATTTTAATAATCAAAAATAACTAATGTAAAGGATTGTGAGAAATTTGAGTTTCTTCACTGAGGGAAGAAATGGGAATCCTTAGCATGAAACAATACATCTCTGTTCCCTATGTGTTTAACATGACCTCACAGCCTACTGAGCTGACCAGTGGTGAAGGGGACTGTGTCTGAACTGGAGGATCCAGAGGGGACCTGAAGAGTCTCTCTGGGAACATTTTGACAGATGCATGTGGCACCATTTTAATGAACAAATCATATAGATTCTTCTTGCTACATGGACTGAGATAGACCATAGAGGCTTCCCCAATTCCTTTCTGGAATTCTTTTCAGGTGGTTTATTTATTATACAGGTCTAATACGTACCGGAAATGGTGCAGGGTAAAATGTGGAAAAAAGTATTCCAGTTCTTTTCTGTAGGACCTTATTGTCAAAACATGATTCTAACGGGATGAAAACCATTATAGAAAGCCATCTGTTTTCTTTCTGCCTTCTTATTTCCTTTCTCTTTTCTTTCCGTTTACATGGGTCTTTAAATCAGAAAAAAAAAAAAGGGAAAAGATACCACTCCTGGTCCCCATCTTTCCTATCGCAACCCCTGACCACATGAAAATGCTGCTGACTGAGTCCACTATTCTCTAGGCTCTAACTCGGCCCTCAACTCCAAAACTGTTCCATGTTTATTTCAGCATTTAAAGATTTAATCATATCTTCTCCCCTTTCTACTACAGTCAAAACTCGGCTCCACAACAGTTTACTTTAAATCAACTTTCAGTGGAGAAGAAAGGAAGGTGGCCAAGGGCAGGAATTTTAATGGTTAGTGATTATGCCTTCATTTTTAGACAGCCTTTTCTTTCCCATCCATCCAGTTTCAGACTGGAGGCAAAGAGATGCACAAAAGAAGAGCAAGCCACCCTTGCACTGCTGAGTTCCACCGTGGGCTGCAGACAAGGGCCAGGTCTCCTGGCTCTCAGCCCGCTGTTCTTCCCACTGCTTCAGCGCCCCTCCTGTCCTACATTCTAGGTCACTGGCAGTGCTGTAGGGAGCTTCATTAATTATGATAGTCTCGCTGTGTCAAATGGATTACAAATGGAACCACCTGTGGGGAGCCTGCAAGGTTACTGACAGAGGCTAAAAGGAGATTGGAAAGTGAAGGACAAGCATCTTCTAAATGCATGCTGTTATCAAACAAAACAAATCAGCAGAAATAAATTAAGCCTGAAAGACAGTTTCACCTTTTCCAAAATTCTGATTTAGTGAATGCTGTGGGAGGTGTCGGTATGTTCATTCTTGCATAGAATTCGGTCGTTGATGCCATGCACGAGAATCAGTCTGGAATTAGGTAAGTCAGGAATTGACCTGGGCTAGAATGAGTCCCCTCCTGTGAACAAGACTACTCCAGACTAACGTGGGCCTAGAGATAGTTCTCCCAAACTCATGGCATCCTCCTCCAATCAGGACCCGCACATCCAGAACTGAACCTGGCTGTGTGAGGCAGAAGAGTCCTCAGATATCTGGCTGAAGAACACTGGGCAGTTATGCCACCATCTAGCACAGAGACGACCTTTTAGGTCCTTCCCCCAAGGGCCTTATAAAGACTTTCTATGTTTCTAGCTGCTGTCTGAAAGTTATTCTGGGCAGTTTTACCAGTAGCCCCATATCCTTTGCAATTTCTGCAATCTCTTGTCCAAGATTCAGTGTGACATAAGCAAACCAATCTGATTTCTTAATGCATTACTCTATTATGTTGAGCTATGTCTACTCACTATCTACTGAAGGAAGAACAGACCTCTCACCCCAGCAGCCTTTGTCCCCATCGTCATCCAACATATAATGGTCACCAATGATGTGTCGAATTCTGTGCTAGGTGCTGAGGATGTCTCTCCTCCACTAAAACCTGTCCCTTTCAACAGGGAAAAATTGGATGGGAATCACCTAGGAAACTTTTCGAAACGCCATATGCCTCCTCTCGCACAGATTCTGGTAGAGCCTTCAGGGTTGGGCTGAAAACAACTATTACATATGCAGACAGATACACACACACACACACACACACACACACAATTGGAAAGAAACAGAAATTAGTGCTCACAATATAATAATGCCGTAACAATTAGACATGGGTTGTTACAAGGTATATTAGATTCTCACCTGGCCCAGGCTTGAATTCAAAACAGGGGGTTATTAGGGATTGCTTTTTAGAAGGTGTCTGTGCTGAGAATTTTTAGGATGAGTAGCACTTAGCCAAAGGAATAGAAAAAATATAGTCTAGGCTGAAGATTCTGGATGTGTGAAGGCATACAGGGAGATGAAAGAGGAGGGGATTTTGATAACTACAAGGACTTAAGTAGTTGGGAAAGTGTCTAGACAAGAGGCTTAAGAGAGAGACAAGAGAGAGACAAGAGCTGTATCATTAAGGCCCCTTAGGCCATGTTAAGAGGTTTGGGAGCCACTGGAAGGATTCCATGAGGAGGCAGGTGCGGTCATCCAGGTGAAAAATGCTTAAGATCTCACCTAAAGTCAGGAGGTTGGAAAGGAGGACAGGGACAATTGGATGTGGTGCATAAGGATAAGCAGAATCAAGGAAGAAACCCAAATTCAGACTTGGAAAATGAAGTAAATGACGATGTTGGTCACCAAGTTAGAGAGAGCAGAGGAGCAGTAGTAAAGGCAGAGAACAACAACTTTTGGACATGGGGGGAACCTTCTGGAGCAGTGCTCAGTGAGACATGTGATCTGAGAGGACTGAAAC